TCTGGTTGGGATGAGTAGTGTCTATTTCCTGCTATGTGCCCGGGGTGCCCTCTGGTGGCAGTCTCCAACAGTGCCGATTTCCTCAGGCTTGGTCCCTCCATCTGGCCATCTCCTACTTTGGGGAGCCTGGCCCTCAGGCTGGTCCTTCGATGCTGATCTAGTCAACCCTTCCTTCCTGTGCCACCCCACCTCCCCACAGAGAAATAGAAAACTGTGCAGTTGGTTGGGGGAACTCCCATACATATGAGATCTTCTCCCTTCCTGCCCAGAGTTAGGCATCTTGACAAAACCATATTACTGGGGGCCTGGAATCTCAACTGTGCGATGAGATCCACACCTTTTCCTTCTTCCTTCAGTCCACAGGTGCTTAGTGAGCACCTACCTTGTGCCAGGTGGGCACCGAGGGTGCAGCAGTGAACAAAGCAGAAGTTCTGGCCTCTTGGTGCTCACATTCCACTTCTCCCTAATCCCTCACTCCTAGTCCACAGCTCTCATCAGGAAGTCTCCTGGCATCACAGAAGGCCGAGTGGGATTCAGAAGTCAGCAACGCGGGCTCCCTGCTCCCCATGGAGTCTCTGGTTAGACTATTCTAGCTTCTGGGTTCTCTGTCTTCCTCTCTCCTCGGAGTTTCACCACCACCCACATGCCGACAGCTTCTACGTGTCCATCCTAGCGCCTCCTCTTCCAGAACTCAGGGCTGTGGCTCCGGCTTCTGTGGGACAGTCTCTCTGGGCTAACAGGTCTTTTGCCTTACCAGGATGTCCCTTTTTTCCCCAAAACCAGATCCTCCACCATACACCGTGGTGCTCAAACCAAAATTTTAGAACTTCCTCAGGATTATTCTCTTTCATGCCCCCAAAACTCCCCCAACAGGTGCAGAATGTGTCCACTCCGAGCAACCACCCTGGTCCCAGCGCCCGTATGTCTCACTGCTGTGACCTCCTAGCTTGCCCCTCCTAGCTTTGCTTTCCCTCTTGCACCGTGCCGCCCTGTTACTTCCACACAGCAGGTGGAGCAGTCTTTACCACCATCAATCAGATCATGTCACTTCCCTGCTTAAAACCCTCCAGTGGCTTCCATCTCACCAAGAATCAAATCCTAACTCCTCACCCGGGCTTACTAAGCCCTCCATGAGCTGAGCATTACCCCCTCCCCACCTCTCCAGCTTCATCTTCCACCTCTGTCTCAACAGCCCTTCTTTCTTGTTCTGACACACACAGGCCAGTTCATTCTCACCTTAGGGCTTTGCACTGGCTGTTTCCTGAGCTTGAAATGTTCCTGCTCTAGACCTTTGTATAGCTGACTCACCATTCAGAGCTCAGCTTAAATGCCACCTCTTAGAGAAGATCCCCCAACCATCTGACAAGTCCCTCTATCTATCACAACATCCTATGTAATTTTCTGTGTAGTGCTGTTCACTAGCTAAGCTTTTCGGTGTCACTTGCTCACTTACTTAATTCTTTATTGTCTGTCTCCTCCAAATAAAACGTGAGCTCCCTGAGAGCTTGTTCATCATTATATTCCCACATAGCAGGGAACCCAGCAGGGCTCAGGAATTCTTAATTAGTGAAAAAACGATTCTAAGGCCAGGCACAGTGGCTCACACTTATCATCACAGCACGTTGGGAGGCCCAGGTGAGAGGACTGCTTGAGCCCGGGGGTTGATGATCACCCTGGGCAACATAGTGAGACCCTGTCTCTACAAAAAATTAGCCAGGCATAGTGGGGTGTGCCGGTAGTCTCAGCTACTTGGGAGGCTGAGATGGGAAGATCACTTGAGCCTGGGAGATTGAGGCTTCAGTGAGCTGTGACTGTGCCACTGCACACCAGCCTCAGCAACACAGAGAGATCCTATCTCAAGATAATAATAAAAAAAGGTTCTTAGTGGCGGCCCTCATTTCTCCTAGAGGGAGAGAGTGGGGGAAACCTCATTTCCTGGCCCCTTAATGAGCTCCCTTGTCCGGGCCAGCAGTACTTTCCTTGGGGAGGCAGGGGCCACTCACCACCTGTAGCACCCTAGAGCCCCCCAGGCCCTGGGGAGTACCCCTCCTTTAGAAGGACCAGTCCTGTGTTCCCTACCACAGTCCGTGTGCCTCCGAGGATAGGCCCTGGTGCCTCAATTCTTAGACTTTCAGGTGCTAGGGTGGGAGTGGGAGGTTTTACCTTCATTCCAGGGCCGGTCTGCAGCATCCCTGCAGGAACTACTGGTCCCTGCTCAAATTCCCCAAGGTCAGGGAGCTTGATGCTTCTGCGCTGTCAGAATCATGTCCTCTCCTTAACAGAAACCTGCCGCCCAGAGGCCCTTTCAGGGTCTGGAGCCTGCCTGGGAGGGGCCTGCAGAGGTGTGAGACAGAGCACGCCCTCCAGCCTCACCCTGTGTAGGAGAGTGGGGCTTCCCTAGGGCCTCGCTGGCCATATTGCCTTAGAGGGGCCTGTCCCCGGGTGTCACCCAGGGAAGGGGTGTGAAGTGAGAAGTCCCCACTGTGGCAGACTGGAGCTGATGGGAAAGTGAGCCCTGGGCACTGGATGTGGAAAATCTCTTCTGGTGTGCCTGTGGAGGAAGCGGGGCACAGAAAAGACAGATGATGACCTTCAGCTGGGAGTGTAAGTGGAAGTGACTCCAGGGAGCCAATGTCCCACCTTCCCTTCCCTGACCCATTCCACCCACACCATTGATCCATGTCCCACTGCCCTGAGTCCTTATCGTAGGCTCACTCTTCCTCTGCAGCAGCCAGGCTTGCAGAACAGGATCTGGAAGTCTTGTGGGGGAAGAGGAAAGAGAATGTAATTCCAGGCATCTAACAGCAGGTGGGAGAGGGGTTGGGCTGAGCCTAGCATTGCAGGGCTAGAATCCTAAGGTGGTAGGAGAAAGGTGGCTCCAACCACACCCCAAGGCTGCACCAGCGGTGGCCCCTCTCACCTACTGCTCTACCACAGCAGCAGCTGGCATCTGAAGCTGCAGACCAATGCATCAGAAGAGACATGACTGGAGCATGGAGAAGTGGTCTTCCTACACACATACAGGGTGGGTTGGGGAGCTCAGAGAAGAGGTCAGCAGCTGTAGGTACTGGGTACTTCAAAGGTTAAGGCCCATTGACACGTGCAAATTAATAGAGATGGCCTGCTCGGCACCTGCTCAGGCAGATTTGCTCTTCTTTAGGTCAGTGGGAGAGGGGGAGACAGCAGGAGAGGCAGAGGTGGAGATGGCGCCAGAGGAGGGAAGAGCCCAGGGCTGGTGGGAAGTGTCTGGGTCATGGCAGAGCAGTACCAAAGCCTGTCTTGTAAAGAGAAAGGGAGGCTGGTGATGAAGCCAGGAGTGGATGGGCAGGGAGTCATAGCCAGCTGGGGGTGGTGGGCCAGCATGTGCCCCAGTCACTGCTTGCCTAGGTACCTGCATGGAGAGGAAAGGCTGGCCCAGAGTTGCAGTGTCTTCTCCTCAGTCCCCTGACCCCTCTTCTTTTTTGCAAGGCAGCCCCTATTCCTCTACCTGGCCCCCTCACCCACCCCCTCACCTGGATAAACCACAGACTGGGCCCAAACTCAGCAAGTCCAACAAGACTGGGCAAAGTGTCTGGGCTTTGCATGACCCCGTGGAGCACTTCTCCCCTCACCATCCCTGCTCAGTGACCATGCCCTCAACCACTACTGCTGCCCTCACACCTCCACATGCATGTGTGATGTCAGACTGTTACCCAAACGCTGCCACTCCCCACCTCTTACAGGAGCCAGGCAATCACACCCACAGTCACACTCCTATGTTCATCCAGTCCCCCAATTTGACACACCTGTTCCCACATTCACAGGCACACAGTCTTAGATACAGTCTTTTGCTCACAGTCACACACTCCTCTCTCCTGAAGCCCTCTTCTAGGTCTCCAAGAGGGGCTGGTACCAGGATGCTTGGGCACTCAGCCACAGGCTGGGAGGGCCCCAGAACCCAAGGTGCTCAGCCAGAGGCCCCACAGCCAACCCTCCCTCCCGGCCTGCACTGTCACAGAGGACTGACTCCAAAGGCGCTTTATTGAGGAGTGAGGCACCGCAGGAATGCATGGTGTGGCACAGTCATGGTGGGTGGGGGCCAGCATTGTTGGCAGTGAAGGTCACACTAGGACTTTCAGGGCTGCAGAGGCCCCCTCACCACTCACCTCTGTCAGGGGCCCAGTCTCAGCTATCCCTGCTCCTAGTCAGACAGCAAGGGTGGGGAGTGCTCACCCCAGCCTGCTTCTAAGGACCATCCTGGCTCAAGTCAGAGCCACAGTTTCTTGGCCAAATGAATCCCAAAGGTCATGTTGGGGTAGAAACAAGGAGGGTAGGGAGGGGCAGGAGAGGGGGCTGCAAGCCCTTCACTGTGTGTGCAATGACAGAGACAGCCCAGGTTGACATTTGTCCCTTCTTCCTCTCTTCCTCCCACCTTCCAGGGGGGGGACTGACACTGCTGGTGGTTAGCCCCTTCAGGGTGGGTGCTCCTTGGTTCACAGTGCCCAAATGCCAGGGGGAGGTTGCAGTGTCAGGGTTCGAGGGTCCAGGGGCCTACTTTCATGAAGCTGGATGGGTGAGGTTTAGTAGGGACCAGAGACCCCACCTAAGGGGCCAAGGGTCTGCTGCTCCCTTCTTCGGAGTGTGACCCCTGACACCATCACACGTTCTACCCAGGAGTTTGGGAGATGGAAACGATGAGGCCCCCTGCGCCCAGCACCAGACCCTTGTTAAAAAGAAAGAAGGAAGAAAGGAAAAGAAAGAGAGAAAGAGAGAAAGAAAGAAAGAAAGAAAGAAAGAAGAAAGAAAGAAAGAAAGAAGAAAGAAAGAGAAAGAAAAAGAAAGAAAAAAAGAAAGAAGAAAGAGAAAGAAAGAAAGAAAGAAAGAAGGAAGGAAATAAAGAAAAAGAAAAGAAAGAAAGGAAAGAAAAACTTTTCTTTTTTCTTTTTCTTTTGCCCTCTTAAATGGCACGGAAGGAAGGGGAGTGAACCCGGAGAGCGGAGTCACGGCGGGGCCCTGGTCCGCTAGGGGGCGGCCCGCTCCTGGGGCGGGTTGAGCTGGACCCCTTCCGAGCGCAGCGCGCAGACGGCCACGGGCGCCGGGGCCTCCAAGGCGAGGGTGCTGGGGCCGGGGCTGGAGCGGCCGGAGGACGCGGCTGAGACTGCAGGGCTCAGCTGCACTGCTGTGGTGTCCTGTGCTGTGCGCTCGCTGCTCTCCATCTCTAGCGCCACGGGCCCGGCGCGGCCGCCCCCCTGGCCAGGGCCCACCGCGGCCGCCGAGCGCGCGCCGGGCGCGGGGCCCCGGCGGCTACACACGCAGCAGGCCGCGAAGAAGCCGAGCGCTAGCACCAGCAGCCCCGGCCCCACCACGAGCAGCGGGTTGTGCCCGGGCAGGAAGGAGGCGAAGGCGCCCGCCAGCGTCACGTTCAGGCCAGCCAGCAGCGCGCACAGACCGCAGGCGCAGCACAGCGCAGGCGACTGCAGGCCCGGCCCCCGGCCCCGGGCGCGTTCCGCGGGCGCCAGGACCGGTGGTCCCTTGCTCTTTTCTGCCGGCGGCATCGGCCTGCGCACGGCGGACACGCATCAAGCTCCCTATTGCCGCCGGCCCGGAACAGCCCAATTGCCAGGAGCCGCCTCGCGCTAGTCCTGTGGGCACACAGCAAGAGGGCGGGGTCAAGCAGTGTGTCTCGACCTCGAATCCTAGGCTCCTTCTGTAGCTACACTCAGTGCCTGGGTGGGCAGAGGTCATCTTGGTCAGCCCCCCGCCTCTGTCTCTGGAAAGCAACAACCCATCCCATATGGGAAGAGTCTGCTTGTTGTATCCCCACCTAGTTCCGGGGGTCCCTCGTGGCCAATCTTGCCATCCTCCCTCTCTCGTCACTTTTTTGTTCTCTAAACAGACACCACCCCTCCAACCCCTCTCCTCCTGGAAGCCTACCTGGACTCATTGAGTGAGAGAATGGCTGGAAAGTGCTCAGCACAGTGTCCAGTTCAGCTTAGGTGCTCATTACATGATCATCATCGTCTTCAGTAACCCTAACTAGAAGGCAAATGGCAGCTCTTGAGATTTAGACAACTCACTCCCTCAAGTGGAAGAGGCGTTGGAAATCATCTGACCTTGCCCCCCACCCCCACTCCTACCCTTTTATTCAGGTGAAGAAACTGAGGCTCCCAGAGGTCTAGCAGTTTATCCAAGATCCAGAACCAGGACCTGAATGACCATGCGACTTGGCCTCAGCATCCCCACCCTAGGCTCCGGTAGGTGTAGCAATGACACTGACTCTTCTGAATATCAGATGAGGCCCTGGAGTGAGTGGCCACGTGAGAGTGAGGAGCTCCTGATGGTTCAGATGTTCAGTGAGAGGGCACAGTTCCCACATGAGATGGGTTGGGCTGGAGCAGATCTAAGGCACCAGGACCCTTTCTAGACCAGGCATTCTATTAAATTCCAATCCTATCTCCACTCCACTCCCTATTGTTCTACTGTTGAACCTGGATTCAAAAGTCTAATTGCTGGACGCTAGAATTCCTTTCTAGGATTCTCTAGATGTCTCTGGTTCTAGGATCTATTGCTGGATTCTAGAATTCTGGAAATACATGCAGAAACAAGAGTAATAAAATTAGAGTCTAGGGATTTATGACTTCTATTTGAGAATTCTGTTCTATAATGCATAAGATCCTAGTTGGTACAAAGGCCCTCAAAGGATGAGATCTTAGCTAGTGTTAGAATTGTGGGGAAAAAATGCCAGAAAAGGGTCCTGGATGGGGATGAAAGGGAAGTAATCAGATGGTACTGCGGGTCTAAGGGGAGCATGCAGGGTGAGGAGCAGGGAGTGAGTGCCACCTTCACAGGGGGCCTGACTCTCCTGCTTCCGTCTTACCTCCTGTAACGTGGGGCTAATCATAGAACCCACCTCATAGGGTACAGTGATAATTAAATACTTTAAGCTAAATAAAGTGTTTAGAACAGTGAGAATTTAATAAATGTTAACCATGCCCTTCTGGCGGTGGTTGACAGAGAAGGGAGCCATGAAGTCTCAAATCTGGGAGGCTGGTCATGTTGGGTTTGGAAACAGAAAAGTTGGGCTGTCTCCCAGGTGGAGGTACCTTTCTGCGTGTCCAAACCCTATACCCAGTGGGGTTGGAGAAAGCTTGATGACTGACTGAAAATGAGGGCTAGTGTCAGATCCTTCACTCTCGACACACAGGATGCGCAGGTCAGAGGGCTTGAAAGGCCACCTCCAGGCCTGTCCAGAGCTGATGACTCCAGGGTTCCCTCTCCTGGCACCATGCTGAGAGGGGGCAGCCCTACTGAGATTCCAGCCAGAATCACCTTGTTGCCGTACCAAGCTGGCAGGAAGTCAGAAATCCCCAAATCTTAGCAAATAAAGCACATGTTGACTCTTGAGGGCATCTACAGACCAGTTTCCTCAGGGAGCTCCTCATCTGCATGAACATCTGCTCTCTAACCTGCTGTTGATGGTTCTGCCAGCCAGGGATGGCAACCTCTAAAAGGGTACAGCAATGTATAGTGTGCAAAGCACTTTTACATCCATGATATCACAATCTCTACTACTGCTTGATGCCTATTAATAGTCACATTTTGCCTGGGTGTGGTGGCTCACACCTGTAATCCCAGCACTTTGGGAGGCTGAGGCAGGCAGATTGCTTGAGCTTGGGAGTTTGTGACCAGCCTGGGCAACATGGCGAAACCCTGCATCTATTTTTGTTGTTGTTGTTGTTAACAAAAAGAATTTAAAAAAAATTTTTTTTAATAGCCACATTTTACAACTGAGGAGACTGAGGCTCAGAGAGGGAAGTGGATTGGGGCTCCGGTGGCTGGACTGAAGGGAAGAATAGACATTCTGAGACCAGAGTCAGAAAACAGATAAGCTGGCTCACACCCTACACAATCTTGCTTAATTTTATAGAGAAGGATTTGATCCTCAGGAGGGTCTGTGAGATTCCCACATCTTCCCCTTTTAAACCTCTCCCCAACCTCATTCATCAACATCTGACATTATCTGACAAAGGCAGGAGTTCCCTTCTGTGGGGAGGGCTCAGTATGAGGATGCCCCGATGGAGAGGAGGGAGTCTGGCTCACCTCACTTCACATCAGTCTCCTGGAAGCTGATATTGGATGAGGGTCAGGGAGGCCCTGGCCGCTGGAGAGTCCAGGGATCTTGCTTCTCTCTCTCTCTCTTTTTTTTTTTTTTTTTGAGATAGAGTCTTGCACTGTTGCTTGGGCTGGAGTGCAGTGGTGCAATCACAGCTCACTGTAACCTCCGACTCCTGGGTTCAAGTGATTCTCTTGCCTCAGCCTACTGAGTAGCTAGGATTACAGGCACCTAACACCATGCCCAGCTAATTTTTTTTTTTTTTTTTAGTAGAGATGGGGTTTCACCATGTTGGCCAGGCTGGTCTCGAGCTCCTGACCTCGTGATCCACCTGCCTCAGCCTCCCAAAGTGCTGGGATTACAGGCATGAGCCACCGCGCCCAGCCAGGATCTTGCTTCTTTTCCCATATGGGGAAGACTCTCCTTTGCCTTAGGGTTTTAGCAGTTTTACTGTGATGTGCCTCAGTGAGTTTTTCTTTGTATTTATCCTACTCTGTAGATATTTGCTTTATATGTATCCTTCCTCATGCTTCTACAATCTGTGGCTGCATCATATCGCCCCCTAGTTCAGGAAACATTTCAGCTCTTATCTTTTCTCTGTTCGCTTTCTCCTCTCCTTCTGGGACCTTCAATGCATGTATGTTCAGCCATTTGCTATTGTCCCATATGTCTCTTTTACACTTTATTCTGTATTTTCTAGCCCTTTCCTTCCTTCCTTCTCTTTATTTCAGTCTGGATATTTTTCTACTGAAATATTTTTTAACTATCTAGTTTACTAATCCTATTTTCACATGTGTCTTCTCTGCTGCTAAATCCATCAATGGATTTCATTTGTTATAACTGTTCAGTTCTGGAATTTGCACTAGATCCTTTTTCATAGATTCCAGTTTTCTATTTAAAGATTCCCTCTTGTTATTAATTTTCTTGAACATATTAAACCTTCTAGAGTCCATGTCTGAAAACTCCAACATCTGGATCTCCAGTGGGCTTGTTTCTATTGTCTGTTTTATTGCTTTTGTTCATTTGGTCTTATCTCCTGAAATGCCAGATAATTTTTTATTGAATGTCCAACATTGTGTATAAAAAATTATAGAGCTAGCATGAGGCTTTGAATGATATTATCTTCCTCCAGAGGGGATTTGCTTTTGCTTCTGACAGGCTCCTAAAGAACCACAGGCCACTGTAACCCAATAGAAGATTATACTGATTGGAAACTTTGTTTCAGTCTTTCTGAGTCTAGTCTATATCTGGTTAGCCATTAGTCCTAGAGTGTTGCTTTGGTCTTCCCAATAAAAACTGTAGGTGTTTAACAGTACCCCTTCCCTTTTTAGGCCCGGAATTCCAATTTGACTCCCCAGTCTCATGACCTCCTACAAACTGGAAAATGCCTTTAGGGAAAAATCAAAATCTAGTATTACTTCTCTCCACAATCTTGGCCCCCTCAAGTCCTCACTGCCTTGGTAGCTCTCCCATGCCTTTAAACAGATTTCTTAAATGCTTAATCCAGCTTTTAAAGTTTTATCCTCAGCAGGTAAATTGGTCTGATAGAAGTTAGTCTACTTTAGCCAGAAACAGAAGTCTAGATGATAATCTGAAATTAGCACTTATAGATCTATAACTAAGTTATGCTATGCTAAGCACTTATAATAATATCTAATTTAATTTTTACAACATAAAATTAACAAATTTTTATTTAATTAATTAATTAATTTAAAATTAATACAACATTAAGTATTACTATTATACCTCTATTTTACAGATGAGGAAATTGAGACACAGAAAGATTAAGTAAACTCACCCCAAACCACTCAACTGCAGTGGTGGTGCCAGGATTTGAAATCTGGTGTACTGATCCAAAGCCTGTGCTCTCAACCTAGCACAGTGCTGGATTTGCTAAATGTTTGTTGAATGACTGAGGCACAGGCTTTTCTGAGGCCCTGTAGATAAGCTCCTGTAATTAGAACTTACACTGCTCAAATGTCAACCACAGAGGAAGACAGGTTTTCTCTGGTTCAAGGAAGGTAAAATTCACTTTGCTTCTTCCTTGGTTTAGCAAACTAGGTTCAACAGAAACTAATTCCAGCCCAGGGGCTGAGCTTCTAAGTGCTAATTGCTAATAAATGATTGATTCTTATCTACTCCTGGGAGGCACAGTGACTATAAGACAAAAGGGTCTCTGCCCTAGGCACGCAAAGGACTAAGAACATGTAGGTGTTGGGCTTATTCCTGAGGTTGCCTCCACCCCGGTTAATTGGGATCTAGGAGTGTGCAGGGATGAGGTGCTGAGGCTGCTCAGCTGTTGTAATTCAATTTGCACCACCATTTCATCTGGTGAACTGGGGGCTCCAGCTGCTGCTGTTGCAGTGTTGGTTCTGTTTTGTTGTGGGTGTTCTGGCTAGCTCTGTTGTGGGGTCCTTGGCACTGTTCAATAAATCTTTCTGGTTTTCCACTCTACTGAGCACATGTTAAGATTGCACTTTCTGGCTGATTTGTGATTAGGTGGCACTGTGTGATGTTCTGGCCAGGGAATTGTGACACGTGCCACTTCCAGGCTGGCCTATTGGATTATGGAAGCAGGACTCTGAGTTGATGCTATTGCTCTCCCCAGTCCTCTAAGCCCCTTCTACTTCATTCCAAGCCCAGCCTTCAATCCTAGTGCCTGAGCAGGAGGGAAGGGCATTGCTCTGACTCTTGAGTTGCGAGGACTGGAAGACCTTCACTTTAGTGAGTACTCCGAGTTGCTGAGCCCCTAAATCTTCAGAAGCGGGAAACTGAGGCTTGGAGTAGAGGAGGTCTATGGCCAAGCCAGGCCAGAACCAAGCCCTTTCCCATCCAACGAGGGTTCTGAACACTGCCATTCAGCTGCCCACGACCCTGGCCAAGCAATTCACCCTCCCTGCTGCCCTGCCTCTGGCTAGGGAGGCCCCATGGTCTCTACGTGAGGAATCCAGTCCACAAGCAGTTTGCGGAAGGAGCAGACACTGTTTGGGCAGCCTGGGAGAGCTGGGGTCCGTCTCTGGGCCTTAGTTGTCTGGATGTGAAGGGAGGAGTATAATGAGGTTATTGTCCCCAAACTGAGGTCCCTCGTCAATCAATCTGCTGCCCCACCCTCAACTACTTGAGGTTCATAAAGGTGGAAATGAGGACCTGTTTAGAAGTTACTGTCAGTGTATCAAAAGGTCTCATAAAATCAACATTTATGTATACGTATACATATAAATGTATATGGCTGTACCTGCGCATTGTACCAGATTATTTGCTTTAGGCTGGGATTCCGTTGTTTCCCTGGGAAGTCAGCTGCCACACAGGGGTTCTGGTTGAGGGGGAGGGACACTCATATTGAGCAGCAACTCTGTGCTAAGCACTCTCCCTACATTAGCACATTTAACCTTCACTACAACCCTGTGAGCTGTTGCAGTCCTGTTCCTAGTTCATAGTGAGGACACTGAGGCTCAAAGAGGTGAAGGGACTTACTTTGGTTTATTCAGCTGCAATAGGGAAAGCTGGGATTCAAACCCAGTTTTGTCAGATTGAAAAGCTTATGTTTTTGGTTCATTAGAATTGCTGTTTACTGAAAGGTATAGAGATGTTTGCTTATTAAAAAAATTTGGGCTCAAGGGGGTGGTCCTCAGTTGGTGAAGGCAAGAGCTCCTGGAGAGGGAGTCTCTGTCCGAAGTCCCTTCAGGTCAGCAGGTCAGCCTGCACGTCCCCTGTACCCCAACCCATGGTTCTGGGATGTTTGTGTTGCATAAGAGCAGTTGCTTGACTAGAGGTAGCTGCCAGGCCTCCTGGCTCCAGATTCCTGGTCCAAAGGCCCAAGAGCCTCTGGGCATAGGGGCTTCAGTCCAGACTTCAGCCACTGGCCCCAGCCCCTTGTCCTCCAGGGGAGGCTGAGCCCCTCACTTGCTCAGTCTGAGCTCTTTACTGCTCACTATGAAATCCTCTGTTCCTTTTAGTCTTAGCCCTTCTGTTCCCTCTCAGTCCCTGGAAATCTGGGCCAGCCCTCTTCCCAGCACCTACATCCTCAGGAACCTCCCACATCACTCTTACTCATTGCCGGCTGGGGCTTATTCACTACCTTGGGAACTCTCCGCTTCTGCCAACTGAATTCTGCAAACCCAGAGCCCAAAGAGCTACCATCACCCTCACCCTAGCCAATCCATGGACCTGTCCTCACCATAGACACATGCATATACATGCATACTCACATGTGTGCATGTGCGTGTGTACACGCGCGTGCACACACACACACACACACACAGAGTCTTCAAGCTGGAAATAAGGTTTGAGGGTGAAGCCTGAAGGTGTGGCTTTCTAGCTCCTGTGTCTGATTCCTGGGATCTATCATCTTCCTTCCTGAGCCCATGTGCCTGCACGAACACACACACACACATATACACTACAGACACACACGCAGTGACTGGACATATCCAGAAATACAAACACAGATGCATAGATGCATTACACACACAGAGTTGCAGACACAGGCCAACATATGACACACTGTCAGTTGCCTGCCTATCTGATGGAGATGAGCTGCTGTCCTGGAGACTTCTCCTTGCCTGGAAGTGTGAGGGTGGAGGGAAGGTGGTTGAGAGTAGGAACCCCCCGGGAGAGGTGATGGGTGGATAGGAGTTCCATTGTGGCTGCTCTGATGGTGCCTGCCCATTCACAATGGGTCTCCATGCTGGCAAAAGGCAAGCACTCACCATTCCCCTCACTGGGGCTCAGCTTTGCCATTGGTGAAGTGCGAGATTGATCTAGATGATCTAGATGGTCTAGCTGGCTTCCAGCACAGCTGAGAGGCCCCAGTGGCACAAGACTCCGAAAGCTTCTTTGAGCAATCACAGGTCTGTGTTGGTTAGACCGAGCCTTTGTAACAATCCAGGCAAAGATGCTCCCTTCCAGTCCTTCCTGGTGCTCTTGCACTTCCCCAACAGAATCCTCAGGCCACAGTCCCCAGCAGGGGTTATATAGGTGGCCAGACTGGGATCTCTAACCTCAACCTGGGCCTCTGCCTCTACCCTAAGCAACTCAGCTGTCTGGAGCCAGCTGGAGGGGTGGAGAGAGAGGACTTCAGACTGGCAGGAGTGGAACTGCCCTTCCTATCTGTCTCCTTCCCTTCAAGGCTCTGGAACTAGCTCCACTTCCCTCCCCAGCCTGAGGAACTTCAGCATCTTTTGCCCAACCACCCAACCCCTCTGCCCTCTTAGTTTCCTGACTTCTCATCTCCAATGCTCAATTCCTTCATTCCACCTCAGCTACACTTCCTCATACCTCATCACCTTCAGGACTTTATCACCCTTGTCATCACCCTGAAGCATTCCACCTCTGAGAAACCCTGACACCCTACTCTCGACTGTAACTCCACTGCTACCTCCATACAAACACGGCTACAGCACAAACACTGTTCTAAGCCATATATGTGTGTGTGTGTGTATATATATATATATAATTTTTTTATTTTTATTTTTTTGAGATGGAGTCTTGCTCTGTTGCCCAAGCTGGAGTGCAGTGGTGCAATCTCGGCTCACTGCAACCTCCGCCTCCCAGGTTCAAGTGATTCTCCTACCTCAGCCTCATGAGTACCTGGGACTACAGGTGCACACCACCACACCTGGCTAATTTTTGTATTTTTAATAGAGACGGGGTTTCACCATGTTGGCCAGGATAGTCTCAATCTCCTGACCTCATGATTTGCTGGCCTCAGCCTCCAAAGTGCTGGGATTACAAGCATGAGCCACCACGCCTGGCCGCCCTTTATATATATTAACTCATTTAAGTGCCATGACAACCCTTAGGTAGCACTACTGCTGCCACTAACTTATGGATTGGGAAACAGAGGCCCGAGAGGTTAGAAGAATCGCCTAAGGTCACAGACATCATGGTAATATATGGCATAGCTGTGATTCAAACCTAGGCTGTGTGTCTCCTAAATCTGTGCCTTTCATAACCCCACACTGCCACTGGCTGTAACTGTTCTTTGATCTCATGCAATCCCTGGACCTCTGCATTTTTCTCCATGATCCTCTTGCTTCCACTTCTGTCTGCATCTACCCAAGAACCCAAACTGACTTATTTCCATTACTCTCTTGCAACTTAACTTGTCCCTTTGTCCTTCTGCCAAAGCTGCCAGCAAAGCCTCAGTTGCAACAGTCTGGCTTTGTGCCACCTCAAGTCTATGCCTAAACTGCTAAGCCTTGTAGGTGAAAAAACCACGGCTGGGTGGCATGGGCTGTCTGTACATCCACATCCCTGGCATCACTGTGATCCTTAAGGATACTGGGAAACCTCCCACTTCCTAGTCTGAGCTCACCAACCCGTCACTGGACCGCACCTCCCACTGGATGCATCTAAGAAGGCCTCTCCCATCTCGAAACAAAACCCTCCTTCAACCCCACATCTGCCTCCAGCTAACACTCTGTCTCTTTCTTGAAAGCACTGTCTACAGTATATATCTCACCTCCTTGTCAAGAGCCAGTCCACTCCAGTCTGGTTTCTGCCCCATCACACCACAGACTCTGCTTTCACCAAGGCCACCAGCTGACTCCTTTTTGCTGAATTCCATGAACACTGTTCAACTCTTAGCTAACTTGACGTCTCCAGAGCTTGGGACCTACTGAAGCCTCCCTCCTGGAAACATACTCTTCCCCTGGGATACAGTTCCCTCAATTTCATCTTCACCTACAGAGCCCACAGACCCAGCCAGAAAATCTGGGCTTCATCCTCAGCTCCTCTCTCCCCAGGCTTCCCTCCACACATTTGCCATCTATCACTAAGCCCTGCAGACTCTCCCCTCCAAGCGTCCCGGAATCCATCCCTTCCTCTCTAGTCTCATCACTGCCCCATCTCTCCTCCTAGGATCCTCACAGCTGCTGCCCGGCCCTGCCACCCTCCTCATCCCTGCCTTGATTTTGCTTTTGCGGGCTGACCTCACCAGGTGTGTGAGCTCGCTGTGCCTGAGCCATGAGCCTACTTGCTCTTCCCTTGGCTGACCCCAGCTCTCCCTTCAGAGTGCAGCGGGGATGCTGCTTCCTTCCTTCCTTCTTTCAGATTTCCGAAACTGCAAATCAGGGCTCCTCAACTCCTGATACCCTCATGGTGCCATAACTCCTGTATCCAGGTCTGCAGGCCCTAGCCATCTTCCTTGAGGGCCAAGATTATGTCCACCTTGTTTGGGTGCCTGCCTCTCCCCAGGTGAATATGGGTTAGATAAATGGCCCAGTGAATGTTGGTTAAGTAAATGGTGGGGGGAGACATTGGTCAGAGGGGCTCGTTTTCGGCCCTCCTGGCTTCTCCTGTCTCTTGGATTTGAAGTTGTTCTGTGCTCTCTTCTCTCCCATCCCCTCCTCACTTTGGGCTTTGGGGCGGACATGGAGGGGACAGGTGAGATTCTAGGGCAGAGTCCTACCCAGTTCAGAGCAGGGTGGGGTCAGAGTGGAGCAGAGGAAGCCCCGGAGCCGCCAGTGCCTGCGGAGTGTCTCCCCTTCTCCTGCATCCATCTCTGTCTTTCTCAGCCCTGTCCTCTCACGGCCACAGGTTTTTGACCGCTTCTCCGGGCACTACTCCTGTCCCCTGGAGCTCAGGCTGGATGGAGTCTCTTCCGCGTTCCAGTAAGTGTCCCCTCCTCAGCCCCCTCCCGCCAGCGTCCCACAGCTCCTTCACTTGCCTGAGCCGGTCCGTGGACACTCCCCTGCGGGCCTGACCCGGCTGACCCCTGAGCACCCTGGGTCAGCAGGAAGGAAGGATCCCTCCAGCGCAGGACAGCCAGGAGAGAGGCCGGGCACCCCCTCCGCCGTCCGCTGGGTTCTAGGGCCTGGGCCGGCGCACAGCACGGGGGTTGGAGTTGGGGTCGCCCTCTCCCACGCGGCTGGGTTTCCGGGCGGGCCGGGGGGTGGTCCTGGACCGAGCAGCTTGGAGACTCTGGATCAGCAGGTGGGTGGGAGAGGGCACCCCGTCCTGGACCCCTAGCCGGTGCGGGCAGGGCAGAGACGCGCAGACCCGCTCCCACTCGGCTCGGCTCCCCTGGCGCAGCCCCCGCAGCGGCGGCGGTGGACTGGGAGGGGCCAGCGCGCTGGCCTGTGCGGGTCCCCAGCCGCCTCCCGCAGCCCCCCTCCTCCAAGCGTTGGCCGCCGACCCTCAGCTCCCCTTCAACCCTGGGCGAGCGGGGTTCTTACCATACACCTCCCCTCTCCGCTCCGTTCCGTCCTTCTCCCCTTCTCCTCCAGGCTTCGCGGTCTGCAAGCACCCTTGCAAATAACTCCTAGCCCACCCACACCGTCTCGTCCGCACTTTCCGAGAGCCAGGCACGGATATATTGCAACTCACTCTAGGGCACGGATACAAGTCGAAGTGGCTCTGCCTTCAACTTCAAATGGATTCTCCACCTTTTCAGGAGCGGGGCTGGAGCTGTGGGGCAGGGGAGATGGGGAATTTTTCCAGGGATGGGCTTGTTTTCAGCATCCCTTCCAATTAACCAGCAATCCTGCACCCTAGAAAGGGGTGTGGCCACGAGCCTGTCTAGCGGGTGACTCTATCTCCTGGTGGTGTGTGTAGGAGCTTTTTGGTTTGAGGGCTGGGGAGGGAGTGCTGGGCAGCAGGCCCACCTCCAGGCTGGGCTGTGTGGGAGGGAAGACTGAGGTGCTGACTTTTCAGACCCTGGAGGAGTTCAGCTGAAAGAACATCTCTCCAGCATCTGCCTTCATTCATTCACTCATCCATTCATAAACCCTACTGCAGCCTTCATGCTGACAGCGGCCCTGTGGGGAAGGGCTACCATATCCTCCCTTTGCATCCAGGGAAAGCCAGGCTCAAGGCCCCACAGCCTCTTGCCCCAGCCCCTGGGAACCAGGATGTGAGTCTTATCTCCAAACTCCAGCCCCAGCCTAGGCAGTCCTCTTCCAGGTTGGCCCAGCAGGCATGCGACTTCAAGGAAGCTGCTTGGACCAAGCACTCTACACCTTTGGGTCACTTGTGTGTTCTCAGCACCCAGCCCAGGGCCAGGCACAGTCATAGTCACAGTCCTGGTGTGAGAATGGCTATTGGAAAGAACCAATTTCTTTTCTTGAACAGACTACTGGAAGAGCTTGGTTCAAAGACCTGTCCCTGTCCATGCCCCTGTCCCATGCTGAAATATTGGAGGGTTCTACTTCTCCCTAATGCTACCATACTACCCATGCCAGCTGGGCCTGACCTCACCTTTTCTCAAAGTGTGAGGGGGAGAAGCCACATGTCTCCACATTGACTACTCCTGTGACTATGGGAGTGGGGAGGTTGAGGCTGGGGATGTACTTGAGGAAGATGTATTGTGACATTCACCTGGGCTGGAGGGAACATGTTTCAGGAAGCCCACAGCAAGGAAAAAGAGGAACTAGAGGACCAGGCTCAAGAATTTCCACTCAGTTTAAGGGTCCTTTGAAGCCTCACCCAGTTCTTCCCCAGTGGACATAGCTTTTGCTGTTGTATGTTTTCATTCCTTGATTTATTGCACCTGGCCCCCAGCATCTGTCTGTGCCTGGCCCTGCCAGGCACTGGGGATTCCGTAGCCCCATCCTGGGGAGAGCTTGGCTGAGAGGGGTTGATGGGCAGGGGGTAGGGAACCACCGTCTCCACAGCTCAGGCTCCACATCCCCCACTCCCATCCCCTCCACCCTGGGGCATCTCTAGGGCACTGAGGTGAGGATCGAAAAGATGGATAGGAGGAAGGGTCACCTCCTGATTGAGGAGGGACCAGCAACCTGAGCTATTGTTGATGATAATGAAGGAAAAGAGAAGGGGCAGGGAATAGGCAGCAATCGGGTGGAGAGGAGAGAAATTCAAGGAGAGAAAGTTGCTTCTCTCAGCTGAAGGAACCGAAGTCTCTACACCTGGCCAGCATTTGTGGAAGGCAGCCCCTTTGTGGAGGTCTGTCACGCTGTGGTCAGAGAGCTGATCCCTGCCGCCCGTGCAGAGGACAGCAGAAGATAGAGCCTTGGATAGGGAGAGATAGGAGACCTGGCTGCAGGCCTGGCCCCGTGACCTTTCACCATGGGACTTGATGAGTCCTTTTTCCAGTGGGGCCTCAGCTTTCCCGTCTGAGATGGACTCTGCTGCTTCAGAAAACTTTGGTTTTCCCACATCCACTGGGGTGTCTTCTGGGTGCCTGGCCCTCTGCTCCCACTCTCAGGAGGGGAAACAGACAAAGGCCACTCAGAGTGATTGGGCTGTGAAGGAGGGAAACCCTGGGGCTGGGAAGCACAGTAAAGTCAGGGGAGGCGTCTAAGAGGAAGTGCCATCTCCACTGATCCTGGGAGAAGGACACTATTTCTTATTTTTTTTTTTTTTTTTTTTTGAGACGGAGTCTCGCTCTGTCGCCCAGGCTGGAGTGCAGTGGCCGGATCTCAGCTCACTGCAAGCTCCGCCTCCCGGGTTTACGCCATTCTCCTGCCTCAGCCTCCCGAGTAGCTGGGACTACAGGCGCCCGCCACCGTGCCCGGCTAGTTTTTTGTATTTTTTAGTAGAGACGGGGTTTCACCGTGTTAGCCAGGATGGTCTCGATCTCCTGACCTCATGATCCGCCCGTCTCGGCCTCCCAAAGTGCTGGAATTACAGGCTTGAGCCACTGCGCCCGGCCAAGAAGGACACTATTTCTAGCTTGTCTTCTGCTCACTAAACCAGGCCAGAGGCCATATGGACAGGGCATCTCTGTAGAGGTTACACAACTCTGCCTGGAGGGTGCAGGTGTGGAGGGAGGAGCAGGGTTTTCTGTGAGGCCACACCTGGGCCTCCTTGCTCCACACTTGCTCTACCCATGGTAGATGGGACTTTGAAGTGGCTTCCCGGGGAAAGCCTAGGGAATTGTTTTTACATTAAATTGAAGCCATTGGCATTTATTAAGCACCTACTGGTCTGGTGCTAGGCACTAGAGCAGGGGCAATGTTCAGTAGACTTAAGTTGGCTTAATAGTTGTTTTGTGAAAAGGAAGACTTCAGCCCTGCCTGAAAGGTGGCAGCAAGACAGAGATTGGCAGAAGAGAATGAGGAGAGCACGTGGGTAGGAGATTTTTTGAATGGGGCCTTTAAAAGTGGGGAGTCTGATAGGCAGAGAGAAGCAGGGAGGGCCCTGGAGAACACAGGGCAAAGCTTGGAGACAGGAATATGTTTCGCTTCTTCAGGGAGCAGTGAGAAGATCGGGGGAAGAGAGAAGTCAGATCACAAAAAGTCTTGAGTGGTGGAGTTAGACACCAGGGGTCACAGGGCCGGGCTCAGCTGAGAAGTCGCCTCCTCTGACCCCCAGGCAAGGTTGTTTGTACCTGTCCCTTTGTGAGCCCCCCAGAATCCCCCATCTGATTTGCTGCTGCCCAGAGCCTGTCCCTGAGGAACTGCCAGGAGATTTGATATTTGAAAAAGAATCTTGTCTAGCCCCTCTATTGGGCTAGTGAGCTCTAGAGCTCCTGGGCTAGACCGTGGGGGTGGAGGGTCCTTGTCTGTGGTTCTTGTGGGCCTGTGGTTCACTTCTGAAGCCAGGTTAGAGCAAGGGACTGGGGCATCCTGGTCATAGTCAGGGCCTTGGACCCCAAATTCCAGAGAAACCAATCAGTAGATCGAACAGGCAACAAAGCTGAGCTGTAGTCCAGAAAGAAAGGTCAGGGCAGGAGCCTGAAACACAGGAACCCTGTGGGGGCATCCAGCAGCACCTTGCTCCAGGCCCCAGCCCACACCAGTGGAATCCATTTTCGAGAGCCTTGGCCAGGCGAGTGCAAAAGGCTCCATTCCAGACGCTGTTCCCAGCTGCTCTGGGGTCTGCAGGGCCTGGCATGTCTCCGGTTTGGGTTTTCTAACCCAGGAGGGCACTGAGATGGGTCAGCAGGCAGGACGGGAGGGCAGGGAAGGGGCAGCCCCTCAGACTTAGCCTCAGCATTCCTCAGCCCCCCGGGTCCCTGGCTTCAGCTTCTCCAGGGTCCTGCTCACGGTAGACAGGCTGCTGCGGGCTCCTGGGGGAGATACCAGGGACAAGAACTGCCTCAGTAGACAGGTCCCCATGGAGTTGTCAAGGTCAGAGGAACTCAAAGGGACCCAAGGCGGGGGTGCCCGGTGAACCTAGGCAAAGCTGGGATAGAATGGGGAGAGGGGAACATCCCAGGTGACAGTTTCAGCCCAGTTTAAAGAGGTACCTCCAGTCAGGATGGCTTTCAAGAGGACAGCAGCATGGGCTGGGGGTAGAGGCAGGACCCTGGAGCCCACTGCCTGGTTTGAGCTTCGGCTGCAGAACTTCCTGGCTGTGTGGTCTTGGGCATGTCATTTAATCTCCCTGTGCCTCGGTTACCCCATATGTAAAATGAAACTAATGACAGTACCGCCCTCACGTGGTTGTTGTGAGACTTAAAAGAGTGAATAATAGATGAACATGGCTCAGAGCAGTGTCTGGAATGGGCCCTTTTGCTGAGTATTAGCCATCCTGCCACTGGTGGCAGAGACTGGGCTGGGGCCATCGTTGAGAAACTCCTGCCCTGGAATTTTTCCAGGTGTGGGGTGGAGGAACAAGGAGATGCCCAGTTTGGGGTACGAACTTTAAACTGGGGTGGTTAAAACTAGTACCCAAAGCTGGTATGCATGGGTGCCCCTTTAAACTGGGCTGAAACTGCCCCCTGGCACATCTCCCCCTCCCCATTCTATCCCAGCTCTGCCCTGGGCACTGGGCACCCCAGCCTTGGGTCCCTTTGAGCTCCTCTGACCCTGGGGGAGTTGGGAGAGGGGAGTGGGAAAATAAACTGAGGCATGGGACCTGGGGGAGGGGGAGGGGAGGGAGGGGAAGAAGCGGGGAGGTGCCCTCATCCCAGTGTCCATGCTGGGCAAGACAGAAGCCCTCAGGATAAGCAAGAGAAGATCAGTTCAGCTTGGAGCAGCAAGGGTCTGACTGCGCACATGGGGAAACTGCCAGCAGTACCATCCCCCTGCACCGAGGAAGCCCCTTCAGGATGCCGCTCAAGGCTCCCAGGCCCCACAGAGCTGCTCAGTCAGGGAGGGGAGATGAAAGACAGATTCAGGCTGGGTGTGGTTGCTCACGCCTGTAATCCCAGCACTTTAGGAGGCTGAGGCGGGTGGATCACCTGAGGTCGGGAGTTCAAGACCAGCCTGACCAACATGGAGAAACCCCATCTCTACTAAAAATACAAAAATTAGCCAGGTGTGGTGGCACATGCCTTTAATCCCAGCTACTTGGGAGGCTGAGGCAAGAGAATCGCTTGAACCCGGGAGGCAGAGGTTACAGTGAGCCGAGATTGTGACATTGCACGCCAGCCTGGGCAACAAGAGCAAAACTCTGTCTCAAAAAAGAAAGATGGACTTGGGAATTTCTGAAACTTACCTTCCTTGTTGCCATTGGTGCTGGATCTTCCTTCTCCATGGTCTGGCCCTGGATGGGGATGGATTCTTAGGCTTCCTGCAGGATGAGAACACCCCAAGCCCTCCCTGGTTACTGAGCCATTCCCCAAATCAAGCCCAGGTTGGGAAGGGAAGTCCTTCTTGCTGTCTAGTTTCCATCCCTGATGCTGTCTTTGCTCCACTGCATTCCTTTAGATCTCACATGATCTGGGCTGATTTGGGCAGGAGAAAAAGAACTGGGCCCTTGAAGGAGAAAATGGCAGATCTTTTAGGGAAGTGAGGTCCTGGGGAGAACTGGGGCCATGGAGAGCCCCATAGGATTGGTGGAGATGGCAGCCTGTATTTGGGGAGCTGAAATGAGGTGGGAGCTATGCAGAAGCCATGGGGTCTTAGGGGAAATAAAGGATCTTTCATGGGGGCTCAGGGATGAAGAGGGAGTTATTTAGAGATATTGGACGCTTTGGGGAGTCATAAAATCTCTCAAGGGAGATGGACTTCCCGGCTCTGAGCTGGTTCAGGCACCTTTGTTGCAGGCACCGGGCTGGATTCTGCTGTGCTGTAGTCATGGCAACGCCTGCACAACACACACACACACAGCAGCTCTAACACAGACAACTAGAGCGGTCTCATATATGGGCTCAGCCTAGCCGCACAGTGGATCACAGACGAACACACAAAGGGTCTGGAACAGTCCTTGGCAGAGGGGTCTGCTGGGGTCAGGGAGAGGCCTCACCTGTGGTAGGCAGGATGTGGTCCAGGTTGAACCGAGCCTTCAGGAAGGGGTAGGCCAAGATGAGGAACCCTGAGAAGAGACACAGGGGGTTCTGTGATGGGGAGGGTCTGGTGAATGTTGAGGCTGTGGGTGGGCTGGGAGCCTGAGGGGCGGTTTGTGAGATATGGGTGTGCATGGGAGGAGCACAGTGTGCAGAGTTGGGACTGTGAGTGTGTAAATGTGAGCCCGTGGGTGTGTGCATCTGGATTGTGGGGGGCAGTGCCTATCTGGGGAAGGGGCTACAGTCTGTGAAGGCCCCAGCTGCCTGGCTCCACCGTGCCTAGGTGAAGAGCAGGTTGCTGGAATGAGCCTGGCTGACAGCACCGCTGCCTCTCTGCCGTCCCCATGCTCCCCCAGGGCCCCCAGGGCCATACTGGGCGCTTGTCCTCATCATGCTGCTCTCTACCCAGACCTGGGGAGCAGGAGCAGCAGAGCCAGTCCTGCGTTGCCTGCCCCGACTTCATCCCTCAATGAGCATCTGTGCCAGAACCTGCAGGTGTAGACACCCAAAGTCCCCTAGCCTGGTGCTTCTGGTCCTGCTTTTGGCCTGGGAGGGTGGGGTGGGGTAAGGGATGGCATTCAGCGTCACTGAGGGGCCATCAGTGTGCCTCGCCCACACAGACAGATAGATGGACACAGCTGCTGTGGAGGCAAACAGGGAAAGAAGAGGAAACCCTTTTTCTGAGCTGGAGCCTGTCTTGGCTCAGAGTCCTCAGGAGCTCTGTCCTTTTACCTGCCGCCATCAACCCCCTGTTCTGCCCAGATAGGCTGATGAATCCCACCACAAATCCAAGAGCCTAGAACTTGGGGCTGGAGAGCCAGTGGGAGCAGCCAGAAAGGAGTGTGACAGCCAGCTCCCCTTCTTGTCTCCTCCCCGTGGCTGGAAGGAGCCCCAGCGCATCCCTCCTCTCCCACCTGTGCCCCTGATGGCGGTCTTGCTCACACCTCTAGCTTCCATTCTCCCCAACTGATTCCTGCTGACCCAGCCCTTCCCTGTTCCTTGTTTACCTGACCATGCCCCTGCCCCCACCTCCAGAATCTCCCCTCCCTATCCCAACCCAGCCCCTGCTCACCCAGAACAGCAGCCCCGATAAAGACACCGCCCATGGCAGCTGCAGCCTTGGATACGGAGATGCCGATGATGACGCTGCCAGCCACCAGCCCGAGAGCCACGCAGGCCAGCTGCAGGCAGTGGAAATCTCTGCTGCTGATGGGGATGTCCATGCAGGCCCACAGGGGCACTGCCTCCGGCCGGTGCAGTCTGGACCCAGAAAAATCCTGGAAGTTTCTGGGCTCTTGGATGTCCCCTTGTTGGCACTCCAACTTCAGGGTGGGAGTTTCTGGGCAGTAAGATTATGGGCGGGGAACCCTGGGATTTATCTGAAGTCCTATCCCACTGCTCCACTAGGGGCCCCCCAGTCCCACCTTGACCAGGGATCTGTACCAGGTCACCCAGCTTACTCTTCCTCTCTTAAAGCCCTCTGAAGCTGAAGCCCACCCTTGGGACTCCTGTCTGGCTACATTTCTGCTTTGGCTGCCAGAGTTCTAGGGAGCTGGGCCTGCTCCATAGGATCCTTCCCTGCCAGCTTCCACCCAGGAGAGTTCAAGCTCCCCTGCCCAGGACATCCTGCCCCATCTTCCTAGAGCCACTCACTTGCCACTGGGCCTCAGCCTATGAAAATTTAAAGCAATGAGAGGCGGGGTGAAGGGGGAGTTGGTCCAGGGGCCACAGGCTCCTCAGAGATGTAGGCAGCAGGGAGGTGCTGAGTTATTCATGAGGTTGCAATGTGAGCGGCTGTCTGGGTCCCGGGGCCCAGCAGGCAGTCAGCCCAGGTTCCACTGCTGGTTCCTGAGGGAGAAGAATGAGCTGGTGGCTTTGCATGTCATTCAGAAGCCAGGGATGTGAGGAGACTCCTGGTCACATACTCAGGGCCCACTCTGCTGTGCTCTGCCCTTTGGCCTGGAGGTGCACCTGGGGTCTCTGCTTGGAGTCTGAGATAGACACACGGCAGGAGGCTCAAGAGACAGGAACTGCACCTGGGACAGAAAGCAGGCCCGGAGAGGCATCTCTCCAAGTCTGCTCCCTACCCCTGCCCATCACATCCCTATCCTGTTCACCTCTGGGCTCCCAGGCAGGGCTGAGGGCATCCTAGTTTGAAGCTTGATCTCACGGGACTTCCTTGTCCTCAGGTGTGGGCCTGGTCCCCACCCCCCTTTTAGTGGCCAGTGGAATGGAGGGTGAACCCTTCTAGCCACCTTGGGGATCCCTGACTGGGAATGACAGGGAAGAGCAGTGGTGGCGCTGGTGTGGGCAGGAGGAAAACACCTAAGGGGTAGGGTAGGGAAGAGGACTTGGTAGGGGCTGGGTCATGGTTGGTGCCTTCCCACCCACTGAACTGAACTGAGCATCTGCACCCAGCCCGTCTGAGCTACTTGCAGGATCCCCCAACCCAGCCCAGCCCTGAGCCCTGCCCCGGCCCCTAATTCCAGCCTTCATCATTCATTGCATTATTTGACTCTTTATGGATCGGGGCCTTCCCAATCCCAGAATATGGCCCTGGCCTGGCCCTGCACCTGGGCACAATTCCTAGGGTCCCATAATCCTACTCAGAGTCCCGTCGCCAGCCTCCCTGGCGTCTCTTTGGATGCCCCCTCTCTGCACCGCATATGCAGTCTCATGTCACCAGGCTCAACTTCTCGTCCCTCCACCTGTTCTTGTTCTATCTCTTCTGTAGACTGACAGCCCCTTGAGGGCAGGTTCCAGGAGTGAGCTCCCCAGAATGCTGTGGCTGGGAGGGAGCTGAGCTAGTCTTCTGGACACAAGGACAGAGTTCAGGGAGAGGCCTTGGACTGCATGACCACCTCCAGTCATCAAACAGGAGGGCTGTGGACACATGGGAACCTCTGTCTCTAGCAAGAGGCATTCCTTGTATGTGGAGAAGGGGGCCTGAGAAGGCCCAGGGTCACCTAAGCGGAGCTTCAGCTCACCAAGAGTCTGTAGAGAGGGGTGACTGCAGCGCAAAGATGGGCCTGGACTGTGTTCCTGGCCCCCACAGAGGGAAAGCCCCTGGAGCTGGGCACTCCCCAGCCACAGAGCTGCTGCCAGCATCCGCTGTGCCTCCTGCCTGGATGAGATCTGATTATTCCTCTAATTAGGCATCAAATCATAGCCCATGTCTCTGTCACACATAATTGATCCCCCACTGACTTAGTTTTAGAAGGAGCCTCCAAAATAATTGTCCATGAAACGTGTTTCTGGCTCCTTTCAAAGTCTAAGGCTGAGGGCGACTCTCTCACACCCTCACCAAGACAGAAGCTCCTGGGGCTGTGTTTTCTACCTTGCACTATGGGGCTCGGGCCAGCCATTCCACTTCCCCGAGCCCACTGCCTTGTCTGGTGATGGGGACGGGGGTGGCAGAGGCACCTGTGCACTGCTTCAGATCTCAGAAAACACTCTGACCTCAAAGGAGAGGCACGTTGAGCCTTTATCAGTTCCAAGATCACAGAACCAGGGCCGTCCCAGCTCTTTATAAAACAGGTGGGGAATCTAAGACATGGGGAGACAGGAGAATTGCCCCAGAGTCCTCATGGATCCTGCCCTGCTGGGAAGTACTCTGGCCTATCTGCCCCTGAATTTCAACACTGTTTTATTTGAGGTTGGAGGAATTGGCAGCCCCACCTTCAGAGGGAGACATTGTGTTAAAAAAATTAGCCAAGGGAGCAGGCATGGTGGGGTTACAATCCCAGCACTTTGGGAGGCTGAGGCAGGGGATTGCTTGAGGCCAGGAGTGTAAGACCAACCTGGGCAACATGGCAAAACCCTGTCTCTACAAAAACAAAAATTATCCGGGCACAGTGGTGCATGCTTGTAGTCCCAGCTACTTGGGAGGCTGAGGTGGGAGGATCGATTGAGCCCAAGGAGGCTCAAGGCTGAGGTGGCAGGATCGCTTGAGGAGGAAGTTGCAGTGAGTCGAGATCACGCCACTGCACTCCAGCCTGGGCGATGGGTGTGAAATCCAGTCTCAAAACAAGCAAACAGAAAACAAAACAAAACAGAACAAAAACAACAAAAATCAGTCAAGGCCTGCCTCTTTCCCTCAGGACCAGGAGTGTGTCATTGAAGGCTTCCAAAACAGTTGTGATGTAGAGAGGGAGGCCTGCCGATTCTTCCCTCAATTTGGGCTCTGAAAAAGTAAAGGTAAGTGTGTCCTTGAGTGATGTGCTCACAGCAATAGGTAAATGAGTTCAGGAACCTCTCTGTGAGTCATGCTGAGAGGGAGGCCCAAGGCACCAGGGCTCCATCTCCCCACCAACCCTCCACCCCTCCCAAGCATCGGAGCCTCCCCGCTGAACCTGGGTGCTCTTGGAGGCCACAGTTCTCAGGCACGGCAAGGCCGCGGGCACGCTGCTGAATTCCATCACCCAGTCTCTTCTCTCTGTCTCCTGCTGAGGCAAGGGCTGGAGAGCGTCTGCCCATGCTCTTTCCTTCTCAGTGCACCAAGTCCAAGTGTGGCGTGGGGGTGGGGAGGAACAGTGGGCGAAAAGGCCCCAGTCTGGTTTGGTTCTGTTTATTTTCCTTGAGGGGTGAGAACCCTGGAAAAGAGCATGATTAATTCACCAATACCCCAGAGGACGGGTAGCTTTCTTGGACCATTTGGAAGCTGAAGTCAGGGAAGCGGCTTCCAAGGCAACGGCTACCATGGCAACAAGAGTGCCAGCCTTGGGGGGACCTTGCTCCTCAGCCCCCTCCAGACCTGAAGCAGCTGGAGTGCTGGCATGGGACCAAGGCACCACTGTTCATGGAGCTGGGTCTGGGAGGGGCAGTCGGCCAGGAGGGAGGAGGGGCCCCCAGAGCCCGGGCAGGTAGACATACAGAGGGACAAAGACTGGACGGTCCCTGTGCCCAGAGGCCCTCAGACAGGAGTCCTCAGGGTCCAGCTGAATCAGGGCTGGGGCTGGGGCCAAGGCCTGATCATTAGGTTTTAGAAGAGAGGTCTGAGGCTTGAGACGCTCCAACTGGCTGGGACCAGCTCTCTCCTTCTAGGCCCCGCCCACGCGAGAGCTCTGGAGCTGGGGAGCTGCCTTCCATCACCGCAGGTCCCATGCCTGGAAGGGGCTCTGCGGTCTCAGAGCCTCCTCAGTGCGTCTGCTGGATCTGCCTCTGTCCAGCAGAGCCAGAACTTCCAAGGTCACCAGTGAATAGTGGCAGTACTGGAACCCAGGGCTCTGGTCCCCACTTCAGGCTCTTCCCCTTGTGCCACAGCTGCCCCTCTGGGCCAGGGACTGCATCCCGGAGGGATGGAGCAGCCTGTCCGCAGGAGGATCCCACAGAGGGACAGAGGCCTGGCTCATCTGAAGAGGCCTAGATCTATCTCCACAGCACACAGTGCTTCTGTAGAGTGCTCCCGGAGCCAAGGACCAGGGAGGGCTCGTCTCCCGCACTGGGACCGTGAGTTGTGTAATTCTGCCCTGGCAGACAACAGTAAATACAGGAGTCCCCCATTATCCCTAGGGGACACGTTCTAAGACCCTTGGGGGATGTCTCAAACCATGGACAGTACCAAACTCTATATATTATGATTTTTCCTATACATACATATCTGTGATAAAGCTTACTTTCTAAATTAAGTACAGTAAGTGATTAACAAAATAGAATAATTGTAATAATATATTGTAATAAAAGTTATATGGATGTGGTCTCTCTCTCAAAATATCCTATTGTGTTGTACTCATCTATTTTGACCACAGGTAACTGAAATTATGGAATTAAGCGAAACTGTGGATCAATGGGGACTACTCGATTAGCTAAAACTATCATAGCTAACATTTATGGAGCACTTACTATGTGGGCCTGGAACTGCTCTCAATGCTTCACATTTATTAATTTGTAACTTTCACAGTTCCATGAAGTAAGCACTATCATCCCCATTTATAGTTGAAGAAACTCTCAGAGATTAAGTAACTGGCCCAAGCCCCAGAGCTAGTAAGTGGCAGAGCAGGGATTTGAATGCAGGCAGCACAGCGCTGGGTCCCAAGCCTTCCTGGAGGGAATTCCAGTTCCACCATTCCTAGCTGTATAGCCCTGGGCAAGCTATTTTTCCTTTCTCTGCTTGGTTTTTCATGTCAAGTGGGATAAAATAATAGTACCTACCTCATAGGACTGCTGAGAATTAAATGCTAATGCCCGTAAACTTCTTAGAAAGTACCTGTTACTTAGTAAGTGGACGACAATGCTGGCAAAACCAAGGTCATGGCATTTAAGCAGAGCCATGCAGGATGAGAGGGGCCTTGCCAGGTGGGCCAGGCTGGGGAGGTGGGCTGGGACAGGGCACAGCTTGAGCCAAGGCACAAAGGCCTGAGAGTCTGGGGGATTTGCAGCTGGGCAGGGTGTGTGCCAGGGGTGGAGAGTGCTTGACCTAGGAAGCCCCCTTGAAGTCACTATCCTGTTGGGCCTCCCACTAGGCCGGGCTGGAGTTCAGGGATAGAACTTGTATCCTGGTTCTGGGTCTCCAGGGGCTGGGAGTCTGTGGGCCAAAAGGGTCAGATTTTGCAGGTCTGTTTTCCTCACCAAGCCCACTCCAGGTAGATGAAAAAGGGATGTGAGGGTGTCAGGGTTAC